TTATTAGCTTTCTCCTTCTATCTATCTGTTCATTGCTTATGTTTTTGTATGCATAATGTATTTCAGGGCTTGAAATCCTTTTTTTTCTGCATACCTTCACCAATACAAGTAACATTGAAAATTACTTGCAACAGAAAAATGTTAGGCCACGCCAATTTAATTTGTTGGTTCTCAGATTTTTTCAGAAAAAAATATGAAGCGACAGGGCGAAAAAAATAAAAATAAAAACAGGTCTAGGCATCCTACTGGTAATATAGCCCTAAATGCTACGATAGGAGCCATGAAGTCAATACAAAGGGTTGGGAATTTTGAACTTTTAATCAAACCACTGCATTGACAGATGGAAAAACTGTAACAACTAGAAAGAAAAGGACTTTCTTCAACTGTTGGGGGCAAAATATGAGCATATTTTATTTGATTCCGAACCAGAATATTTTTCTTTGCAAATCAGAAAAAATGAAGAGGCGAATCTGAGAACCAACAAATTAAATTGGTGTGGCCTTACCTGCACAAAAAAAGTTTATTTCTTTTATGCTTAAAAGGTAGTAACAGTGAGTGCAGCATATAAAAGTCTAAATATGTTGGAATTCTCACCAGGATGAGTCCAGAGATGAGGGAGGAGGTCCCAGTCAGCGCAACATAGAACTTGGGTGTCAGGGTGTTCAGGAACATGGCAACTGTAGCGGCAAAAACAGTCATGTTACTTAACTACTAGTATATCACTGTTTCACACATCAGACTAGTTAGGCACAACACTCCATTGATACGTGATACATAATTTACCAAGAAGAGTAATGAAATGAAATGTCACTTGCAGTAAAAGACGCCAACTTGTGACGTCAAAACGGAAATTGGCCTTCAGTCACAGAAGGTCTATCATTGATGTGAGGCATTTCCTGTTATTGTCATTCTACGACCTTCTGGCAAAAAGCGTGCATGGCGTTTGACAGAGCTATTGCATTATGGTTGCTTTAGTCATCTTTCTACCTATGCGCAAGATCCTGTTGTTTCTCTGAACACATATAGCAAAACACTAGGATCTACTGTCAATCAAATAGTTATCAACTGTCAATCAAATAGTTATCAACTGTCAATCAAACAGTTTTCAGTGTCAATATTTGCAAGTACAGTACATTTTTTCCTTTGTCAAAACCAAAAGAATAGCAACCAAATCATGAATGACCTATAGATATACACATCATCAACACAACACACAAGGCATCTTATATCCTTTGTGGTAACTCAATGTTACAGTCAGAAGCTCTATAAAAGAATAAAAGACACAATTAGAGCCTGCAAATTAGATCCCAAGGCAAGTATCAATGGTAAAGAAGTACATTTATCTCCATTTGGCAGTTCTAAAAGTCTTAGCCTTTTGGCAGAAGAACATTTCACATTCAGTACATAGCCAAGCCCAACGTCTCTGGCATTCAAGAAATGACATTTCGAGCTCTTGTTAGCCAAAATCAATAGAGTGAAGGTAGCAGATAAGACCACCACTATGGCTGGTGAGCTTTCAGTGTATTAGGGTACAACCAAAACTACTTCACTGCTCATTTGTGTACATTACAGTTAACAGAACAACTCAATTTTGGTGTGACATTTGTGTTATCCTCTGTGGAAGGATATCATGGTACCATATATGATATAGCCTACTAGTATAATACACCTGTGCTTGGTGATGCAGTGGAATTTGAAATTCAAGTCCATGCCAGCTAGAAGGAATGCACTAGAATTGTTACCTTTGCCAAGAAGGTCATGTTTTAGGTACATGTACATGCATAATCAATAATAAAAAATTTACGACAAATCAGTAAAGGTTGAAACCACTTGGCAAAGGTATGAGATTGCAGAACTCTAGTTACTAATTTCCCAGTAGTATGCCTACAGCAAAAATTCTGGTTTCTTTTGAACTGATCACCAAAAACAGCCTACGTACATACCGGTACATACAAGTTATAGTTTAAGCGTAAACGAAACGGCACGCATTTGGTCCCATTTTGCCATTTGAAAGCTACAGGTAGAGTAATGTCATTCATTATGTAGACTGCATAAAAAAGCATACAATGCTGCATAGTGTGTTAGTACTAATAATGGTCTTTGAATTCCCTTTCTAAAATGGGTTATACATGTAGGTTACAAAGCAAAATCCTTTTTTATGGTCCTTCCAAAAGCAGTAACATCCTGATAGCAGGCAATCCACTGAAATCCCCATGTGGGGCCCCACAGTGGCAGACAGTACAGCCTACCATATGGTCACAACAAACATTGCAACATCAGCAACCAATCCCCCACTTTCCAGCCTATACCATTCCACTCATTGTTGCAGGGGGGATTTAATAATAGCAAATAGCCAGAAAACCATTTTCTTTGACAATCCATGAGCAAAAAATTCTCCTATTTCTAGCACTAGTTACAATTATGTATATATAAGATATATTGTATATCTTATTTTGTATTCAGTATGGAAAGTAAATTATTTTAGAGAAATACACCTGACAAAAAAGTAGTACGGGCCACATAAGGGAAAGTCCCTTACTGGAATTCAGGAATAAACCATGCAAATAAAAAGGGATTGATGGCCAAAGTTAAAATCAAGCTCCTTGTTCAGATAAACGTAAAGAAAAAAAAATAATATATTATTCAGAAACAAATAAATAAATAACCTTTATTGAAGCTGAAAAATCCTAATTTCTCGACAAAACATAACGAAATTCCAAAAAACAATCATTCAACCAACCAACTACCAGTCCATGTATTATTAAGTTTATCAGCCTTTAAAATTATAATAATAATAAAAACGATAATCTACTTTTGACACAGCAATGTTTGAAGCCTTTCCCAAATCTTCTTATGACAAATCCTGTCCTGAGGGACATTTTCCCATGGCATATGGGACAACAAAGACCTGCCCCATCGTTTAATATATGCAAATTTCAGTATAAATTTACCTGCTGAGCTTTTGAAATAGCGGCTTGACATTCCAACCAGAGGTTTAGGCTTATTTTGGATGTGATTTAGGTGTTTTATCAGGCTTTCTTCTTTTATTGCGAAAAAAAAAGCAGGACAAGAAAGAAACCCTAATAAAAACGTCCACAAAAAACATAAAAAAGATAGGCCCAAGCCAAAACCTCTGCTTGCTGAGTATAGTAGGCTGTGCCACATGCAATTTTTTGCACTGTAGAGCTTTAGAAGTAAACCTTGTCTGGACCACTGACAGCCCATACTAAGTGAGATTGAAATTGCCGGCTGACTACAGTATCTCTTCTAACCTCATACATGTGTATGGTACTTCATTTCACAAAATGAACACATAACAGTTACATGTCTGTGAGAAACTGCTTGAGCAAAACTGACAAGTCGTTCTTTGCGAATCGTTTCAAAGACATAATCTACCACATTGCACATTTTGACAGGTCACCGTAGAGCTGGCAAACCAGACAGCATTGGAATACAGAACAGTTTCCTCGGCTCTTTGCTCTAATTGCTTTATGTGTGCCGCCGTCAAAATTAATTCATTGGGCTGTCTGCAGTCCTTGAAAAACGCATGCATCAGGCTGTAGCACTTTAACAGATACTACAAACCACATTTACTTTCTGCAACCTATAAAAGGCAATAAAACAAATTATGCCAATTTCTCACCATTTTTTGTCACTGTTAAAGAAGCAAGAAAGATGACTATTAGCCTAAAATGTGTACATTTTGTACCACAATCTAATATTCTGTCACCAGGCAATCTCGTCCTTTCCAAAGCCCACCAGGCGTGAAGCTCTCAATATGCAGGAACCTTGACCTAAATCTGTCAAGGGTTGCTGGCAAACATGCATAAAACTTTGGCAGATCTAAAGCACATTTTCCTCGAAGCTATGTATGATGAATTCAGCTCAGAATCCTTAGCTTAGAAGCGCTATCTTTCTTCAAAGCTGACACAATATTATTTTTCGAAAATAATTTCATTTTGTTTGATGTAATAACCTGTCACTGAACGTAACAATCCTAGAAGATCCCAGAGGCATGTTTCCCAAGAAAATTTTGAAGCCTTGACCCTCTAAAATGCTGTTTCCTGAATTTTGAGGGACAAGTTTTGCTGGTTGACTAAGCTTAGTTTAATGGCATGTCTTTCCATATCTTTCCATACCAATTTTTGTCCATCAAAGATGATGGATTGGGCAATATTTTTGTCTGTTATGAGCAGCAAAATTCCGTCAAATGACGGAAAGATTGGCTAGAACTCTGTGCCATATCCTTTGCTTGCTCATAAAACATCTTTTTTTGTAAGATGGAATGCAAGAAAGCACTCCCATAGTATAAACAACTCTGAGTTCAACAGCCATTTTGGCACAAGGCTAGATGCCAAAATAAGTCAGATGGCACACATTCACCCAGAGGGTTGGACAGTTCTAACTGCGACAGAGATGGGCAAAAGGGCACGATAAAGAATTCACCATGCAAGAAGTACTTCTCAGTTCCAATTTCTAGTTCGAGTCTTGAAGCAAATCAGAACAGAAATCCAGACAAAGCACTGTAGAGTACAGCAGAGGCTCCCTAAGGTTATCCCAAAAGGTCACAACCAAAAACAGCTGATATGATAGTTCAAATAAAGGTCAGAACATTGGAGGGGGAAATTGGCAGATGTTACATTTAGATACTGATCATAAAATGAAGAGGGGACCCTGCCAATGCATTCAAAAGAACAGTATGTATACTTGGTGAACACAATTCGTCCTGGGAATCAAAATGTACTTCTAAACAACCTGACCTGAAATACAAAGTCTGCATATTACACACACGTCATGTATTCTTATTTTTATAACTGGTGTCTGTTACATATGTCAACAGCATTATGACATTGTCTTATATTTAGCAAGGACATTGTTCTTAAATAGAAAGCTGGGATAAGAGATATATAAGTAACAGGTTTGCCCTGACACTACTACTACACCAACTGCACATTCCTAGATACCAGTATCTTCCCTCCATCTTGTACTGTTGTAGTATAGGTCAAGGGAAATCTACATGTAGCCTGGTGCCAGACGCTGGCGCTCCATAAGCGATAGATTTTTTTTTGGGGGGGGGGGAGAAACCTTAATGTCCGCTACAAGAGATCCCTCCAAACCCTTTATCTTTCATGCCAGCAGCGAGGAAAAAATTAGAACCAGGGTGACTACAAATGTGTGGAAACACGAACACACAGACAGACACACAGACAGACAGACACGCCAAAAACAAGACCTCCATTTTTCATGGAGGTAACAAAAGTCTTGATCTAGGCTATCATGCTAGAACCACAATTCCAAGATGAATTTTTCATATGCAATGAATGATGGAAATAATATTGGTTTGACTCTTCCCACTGAGAAAGATGTGACCACAAATGTATCCAACACGTTTCTGTGTCAAAATTATCTGTACCACAACTAGAGATTGTATTCTCTTGAGATTCAAGCAATCAATAAAAATGTCAGTAACTCCTAGTGTGCTATGCTAGAAGCATTCCAAAGTGAATTGAGATAGACAGATTATGTCACAGATATCTCTTTGGATAACAAGATGACACAGTTATGCCACGTCATTCTATATTACATGTCATGCATATCAAGTATGTTTCCTGAAAACATTATGATTAAACTCTATCTAATTCCTAAACAATAATTCTAGAAATGTGATGTCATGAAC